CGGCGAAGACCCGGAAGTAGTACTCGTTCCCGATGACCAGTTCGGTGATGGTGGCGTTGGTTCGGTGATAATGCTCAATGACAGTGAACCATTCCTGCAGGATGGGGTGGGGTGGAAATAACCAGAGGAAAATCACATTAAATATATATATATATACATATGTATACATTTTAAATGTATGAGAAGATAAAGCTACATTCTCTCCCCACCCCCACCCCGATTTTCTCATCATGCCAAGAAATAGGGCGTTTTCCAAGTTTATCTTGCAACTGACCAGTGGGGAGACGCATTGCACCACGTGTGCTTACTCTCGCTTGCTGAGAAAAAGTTCATAAAGGGACACCTTTCTCTGGAACGTTTAGGGGCCGTCATGATCTCCGGGTATTGTGGAGGTTTTTAAGAAAGCAGGTAAATGCCATTCCTCCCTCACTTATTCCCTGAGCATCTTCTATAAACCTTTAGGCCAACATTTACTACAGGTATTATCATTCAGCTTTTATCTTGGTGGTGCAGAGGTTATGCATTCAGCTGCCTGCAAGGTCAGCAGTTTGAAACCACCAGCCGCTCCGTGGGAGAAAGATGAACTCTGTACTCCCACAGTTACAGTCTCGGAAACTAACTCACAGGGGCCGTTCTACCCTGTCCTCCAGGGATGCTAAAAATTGGCATCGAATCAATGACTGTGGGCTTGTATCTTCTTGCCTAGATGGTGAGGATCTACAAGGGCAGGCGCGGTCAGGTTTTTGTGTTTTGTTTTAAGTATGCAGTAGTTAGAACAGTGACCAACACACTGTTGATAGAACAAAGCACAAAGCACAAATTCATAAAAAAGACCAGGCTTGCTCGTCTAAGTAACGCAGGGAAAACTCTGGAAACCAGGCCCTTCAACACACTTCAAGCCTGGAACAGCATCTAGCCCCCACCTCCACCCCCATGTTCAGCCAAATAATAGTCAGGCCTATAGGGTTAACAATCACTCCAGGAAGCACACACTGCTTTGGACGACCCAGCATACAAGAGTTAAAGTATTTGCCCAGGGCTTAAAGCTCAGAGGCAGAAAGGGATCAGAAGCAAATGGAAACTATCAATACAGAGAAGAGGTGGGCTGCTCCTGAACGGGGATTGTAATCAATGTCAATAAACAAAATGTATATGAATCCTTGGCTGGAAAACCAATTTGCTCTGTTTGCTTTCACTCAAATTTTCTGCAGAAAGGTAGAAAGAAAGAAAAGCCGATGGCCTCCAGTAAATCCCCTCTCTTCCGAGCCTCAGCTTCCTCATCTGCAGACGGGGAGAATCACATTCAGACTCTAACTCGGTCGTTTCTTGAATACCCCCAGCTCTTTCCTGCTGGAAGACTTGTTTTTTACACAAACTGCTCCCATTAGGATCTTTCTTTTTGAAACAGTGTCTCTTGTTTTTTTCTTTATTAGACATAAATCCACACTATCCAAAATTTGTTCCATGAGGAACAATGTCACAGGAGCCAGAAAGCAGAGTGAGGAGGTGTTTGCTGCATGAATGAATGTACTGACTCCCAGGAAGCAGCGTGCCAGGCGCCCAATGTTTTCAGCCTTTTCATAACTAACCAGGAACGTTATCTGGGTCCCCACTTTATAGAAGCGAAGAAAGAGATTCCAAGAGGTGAAGTGACTGTTGACAGACACAGAATCATCAGTGGCAATGCTGGAATTTAAATCCAACTTTATTCTTATTCTTCTTTTTAATCAATTTATTGGGGGCTCAGACAACTCTTATCACAATCCATCCATCTATCCATTGTGTCAAGCACATTTGTACATTTGTTGCCATCATCATTCTCAAAACATTTTCTTTCTACTTGAGCCCTTGGTATCAGCTCCTCA